TGCAAATAGATTTAGACAGACTACAAAAGTGGGCAGAGGAGAATAGGATGGGGTTGAACGTAGATAAATGCAGGGTGCTGCACCTTGGGAGAAGGAATCCACAGCATACATACAGGCTGGGGAGTTCCCCTCTTGAAAGCACAGAGATGGAAAGGGATCTTGGAGTCATTATTGACTCCAAGTTGAACACAACCTGCCAATGCCAGATCGCAGCCAGCAAGGCCAGCCATACCTTGTCATGCATCCAAAGATGCATCTCAAGCCAGTCCACAGAGGTGATACTCCCCCTCTATGCGACTTTGGTCAGGCCACAGTTGGAGTACTGCGTCCAGTACTGGGCGTCGCACTTCAAAAGGGATGTGGCCAGCTTGGAGAGGGTTCAGAGGAGGGCCATCCGCTTGGTGAGAGGGCAGAAGGACAGGCCCTATGAGGAGAGACTGAGGGACCTGAACCTGTTCAGTGTCAGCAAGAGGAGGCTGAGGGGGGGAACCTGGTGGCTGCCTACAAACTCATCAGGGGAGATCAACAGCAAATAGGTAGAGCCCTTTTCTCCCCAGAACCACCTGGGGAGACAAGGAACAATGGTAATAAGCTGATGGAGAATAGGTTTAGGTTAGAGATCAGAAGGCAATATTTTACAGTTAGGGTGGCCAAAATCTGGAACCAACTTCCCAGGGAAGGGGTCCTCGCCCCTACCTTAGGCAAATTCAAGAGGAGGTTGGATGATCACCTGTCTGGAGTCTTGTGTACCCAGCCTTCATTCCTGCCTGTGGCAGGGGATCGGGTTAGATGATCTGTTCAGGTCCCTCCTGACCCCTGCTACTCTGAAACTATGAAACTATGAATCCAGTGGGTCATATCATTAGGACAGTGGAGCTCCAGAACAGTTGCCCAATAGGAGTAAAGGAATGAAACAATTTACCTAGCTTTAACAGAAAAATAACCCTGAAAAGTCTATATTATTTAGCCTCTAACTTATCAATATTTCAATACATATACATTTTTCTTACACCTTTCACCAAAACAGAACATGGCTTACCTCATGTTTTAAATCTATTGTAAAGTCTGACTTGAGTGGTTCACTTTTCAGCTTCTTTGCAAGCCTGCAAAATCAGAATGAAATTTAGTCCTTTCTGAAAGGAGAAACAAAAGTAATTAAGGAAGGTGGCAACTGATATTTTTATACAACCTTCAGATTCACTATGCTTACACAATGCCGAAGTATTTTCTAGTGGCCTCTAAATGAAGACCACTTCATTTACAACAGTAAATTTACAAACAATTTAGAGCTATACTATGTACAATGCCCAAATATGCAACAAATTTCTTTTAAACAGTAACATTCAAAGCGTAATATGCCTGCAACATTTAAATAAGTCACCTATTAATTTTGGACTGGAGGTCGGTTTGGGGTTTGGTTTTTTTTACTGTCCTCTGCAAAATTTCCCATCTCGAGATTCATTGGACCCAGGGGGCCCTGGCAGATGTTATATTTATGGTGCAACTAAGGTCTCACACTGAGCCTGGGGCTCTCCGGTACTGGAAAACAGCTGCTGCCTATCCAATCCCCAGGACTGAGCTGGGGACAGCCCCAGAACCCAATTTTACCACAGCAGTCACACAACTGGGATCTGAGAAATGTTATGTCCTAGCCCAGAAATGGTGCATCTTGCCATGCACGTTGTTCATGACAGGATATGTGATTTCTGGGATGGTGCATAAAATTCCTCAGCCCTCAACTGCACCATTATATTAACATCTGCCAGGGGCTAGAGGCTATTCATATAAACAAAGCTTAAATGGAAAGTAAATACCTGGATAGATTCTTAGTACTCCTATAAATCACAATATTTCTTGCCCAAGAAAAAATCCTCAGAATGAGTGGACCAAAAATCTAGCATGAACTAATTAAAGGCAATTTTGTGCTTGCAGCTACCTGATGAACAGACACCTCCCCTTTAGTCTTCACAAGAAAACTTGTGAAGTGTGATGCACCTTTTGGTATTAACAATATATATTCCTGTATAGTATATAAATAAATATAAAAGTGTGTGTATAGACACACACACACACCCCTGCATGTTTTTATATCTATACATACACACAAACACATGTATGCATTCATACATATACAAACACCTGCATGTGCTTTTATATTTATACACACACACACACTTTTATATTTATATACTATACAGGAATACACATGGTTAGTATCAAAAGACGCATCAGACTTCACAAGTTTTTTAGCTGGATTCCATACCATAAAGTATGTAATGAGAATCCAAAGTTACATACAAAAATATAGTTCTGCATTTAAGTCTTTGCAAAATTCCGGTAATTTTTTTAAAAAAAAGAACCCGCAGCACGCTTATAGGCTCGGCAGTGCTATGCTGGCTAGCACTACAGACGAAAGGAACTTGGGGATCATGCCTGACCACAAAATGAACACGAGCCTTCAATGTGATGCTGCGACTAGTAAAGCAAGCAAAATGCTGGCTTGCATCCACAGATGCTTCTCTAACAAATCCCAGGACATCATTCTCCCGTTGTACTCGGCCTTGGTGAGGCCGCAGCTGGAGTACTATGTCCAGTTTTAGGCTCCACAATTCAAAAAGGATGTGAAGAAACTTGAGAGAGTGCAGAGAAGAGCCATGTGCATGATCAGAGGTCAGGAAAACAGACCTTATGACAGGCTGACAGCTATGGGACTCTTCAGCCTGGAAAAGTGCAGGCTCAGGGGTGATCTGGTGGCCACCTACAAATTTATCAGGGGTGACCACCAGGTTCTGGAGGAACATTTGTTTACCAGAGTGCCCCAGGGGATGACAAGGTCGAATGGTCACAAACTCCTCCATGACCGTTTCAGGCTGTACATAAGGAAGAACTTCTTTCTGGTCCAAGCCCCCAAGGTTTGGAATAGGCTGCCACCGGAGGTAGGTCAAGCACCTACTTTGAATGCCTTCAAGAGACATTTGGATGTTTATCTTGCTGGGATCCTATGACCCCTGCTGACTTCCTGCCCCTGGGGCAGGGGTCTGGACTTGATGATCCTCTGGGTTCCCTTTCAGCCCTAGTGTCTATGACTCTATTATCATCAAAATCATATGTGCATATGCACCACCTTTGTGCTTCGGCATATGACTCAGGGAAGGAAAGGTCTTTATAAATAATTATATGACTGGAGGGATAAGTTAGCTTGGATACTAATAACCAGGCATCCAGGTTTTCTCTGTTAAAAATCCTAAATTCTCTGATTAAAACCCCGCCAAATCTGCATTTTTCCTGCGATTAAAATGAAATGCCACTTTATGTATGTATGTATGCACAATGCTTTACTGATATATTTACATTTTTAAGCAATTTGGAAGCCTACCAATGCCTCAATCATTATAATGAAATAAATTCTAAATATCTATATATTTTGGTGTTTGATTTTGGAAAATCAGAACTCCCTCTGCCCCCTTCACTCATCGGGACGCAGGTACAGCTGCAGCTGTCCCCCCTGCTGCTTTGTAGCATTAAGCAGCACTGATATGCTATTGCCCCTCACTCCCAAGCCAAACCCCAATCCCAGCCCTGCTAATGCCCCTCACTCCCGACCCACAGCTGCTGCCTATCCCCCACTTGCTCTGTACTCGCAGCAGCTCCTCCCTGCACCAGGATGTAGGTCCAACTACAGCTGTCCCCCCACACTGCTTTGTGGTGCTGAGCAGCCCTGATATACCAGTGCCTTCACTTCCAAGCCACAGCCCCCCAGCTTTGCCAATGGCACTCACTCCTGACCCACAGTACCTCACCACTGCCCCCCACTCACTCCCTCCTGGCAGCAACTCCCCTGCTGTACCAGGACATGGGTCTAGCTATGGCTGTCCCCCCTGCTGCTTTGTGATTCTGAGCAGTGCCACCCACCCCACATGGCCCCAGCTGCCCATCTGCTCACCCCTGTCCTGTCCCTCACCAGCCCTACTTGTTCTCCCCACTGTCCCCCCTCCCCCACAGCCCTGGCAGCATCACCCCCTCTGCCCTGCCCCTAGCACCGTGACCTACACCTGACTCACATGGCCCCCAGCAGCCCTGCTGGTGCCCTTCATTGATGACTCACAGCCCCCTGCCCTGGCCAGCCCTCCCAGAGGGGGTCCCCAGCTGCCCCAGGCCCTACTTACCCCAAAGGCTTCAGGAGGCAAAGTGAATCTGAGCCAGCCCTGGCTGATTTCAGATTCTTGGGACCCATTCCTGCCCCCTTCCCCTCCAGACAGGGCTTAGGGTTTTGTGCCCTTTTTGTATGCAGCTTGCTGCAGGCTTGAATTATGCCAGCCTACAGGGAGCTGTTTACAAAATGGAAAATCGGCATTTTTCCACAGGAAATAGAAAATCCGGATCCCTGCTGATAACAGTGCTACTGCAGCAGAACAGACCTCAGCACAATCTGTAAAACTTCTCCAAGAACCCAAAGTAAACCCTGGGCAGCTAGATCATGCTGAACTCTGCGCTGCCAGGGATACACTACTCACAGTACTTGAGCTAGATGATTCAAAGCTAGCTCAGGTATGTCTATACAAGCTACAGACTGACCTCTGCCCACTGCATTGCAGGCATACCCTTAATTTTATATAAAACACTCATCTGTGACCATAACCCTTGAAAACAATACTTCTTAGAGTTTCATATACTAGCTTTTTCGACAATGTTGTAGGTGTATGTAATTAAGGATCAATATACAATTCTAGAAAAGATCATAAATACAATTCTTACTTGTTTACAAGTGGAAGGCTGAGGGCCCAGCCAGCAGCAAAATCTGGAAATTTAAAGACTGTAGGATTTTCAGCAAAGGCATAATGGTGAATTATTGTAGATTCTTCATCATACAATGCTTTTCCTAAAAACCATTCCTGTAAAGAGATATGGGAGATATAATTTCTGTTCATCTACTATACTGTTCTAAAAAAAGAAAATAGTAAACAAATAAAACACTCATGCTGAATAAAAAGAACCTGGAAAACTAAAGGGGAAAAGTGTAGCATTTATATTAAGCTACTAAAATGTCATTTGTTTGCATATGGAAAAAGCAAGAAACAGGAGCAAGAGAGTAGACAAAAAATGGCAGATGAACTTCAAATGTCAACAAGTGCAAGGTAATGCACATGGGAAAAAACAACCTGAATCAATATGCAACAGTGCTGAGTTCTGATCTAGCTGTTATGACTCAGGAAACAGGCCTTGGAATCATTGTAGATAGTTCTCTAAAAACATCAGCTCATTGTGCAGCAGTAACCAAAAAAACCTAATAAAATGCTGGGTATCATTAAGAAAGAAACTGAAAACAAAACGGAAAACATCACCATGCAATTATACAGATCCATAGCATGACCACATCTTGAATAGTATGTGCAGTTCAGGTCTCTACATCTCAAAAGGATATAGAAGAACTAGAAAAAGTACAGAGAAAGACAACTAAAATGATCAGGAGTATGGAGCAGTTGCCATACCAGGAGAGACTATAAAGGCTAGGGCTCTGCAGTTTGGAAAGAAGACTGAAGGGGGATATGATAGAAGTCTATAAAATCATGAAGGGTGTAGATCAAGTGAACATTGAACTGTTATTCATTAGACCCAAAATAATAGAACTAGGGGACACTCACTGAAAATAGTAAGACACAGCTTAAAACTGACAAGAGAAAGTATATTTTTAGATGGGCAAGGTTCTTAGATAGCACATAGTTAACCTGTGGACCTTATCACAAGAAGTTGTAGAGGCAGCCAGTACATCCAGCTCAAAAAGGGACTAGACAAATTCATGGATGATAGATCTTTTAATAAATATTCAATAGACCAGTAGGAGATATTTCCTCTGGCATCCCTAAACCAACATGGTTAATACCAGGAAGGGTAATCAACAAAGCAAAGATAATTCCTGATTGGAGGCCTGCAGGGAAGGCCCGACAAGGAAACGCTGAGGGATCTTACCCTCTTCAGCCTCTCCAAGAAAAGGCTGAGAGGGGACCTTGTGGCAGCATACAAATTCATAAGGGGAGAGCAACATGAAATAGGCGATGATCTGTTTACCAGGGCACCCCCTGGAACAACAAGGAACAATGGCCATAAGCTACTGGAGTAGGTTTAGACTGGACATTAGAGAAAAGTTCTTTACGGTGAGAGTAGCCAGGATCTGGAATGGGCTCCCAAGGGAGGTGGTGCTCGCCCCATTCTTGGGGGTCTTCAAGAGGAGACTGGACAGGCACCTGGCTGGGATCACATGACCGTTTCAATGCTCTTACTCTAAAGAATCCATTCCTGTCACTGTCAGAAACAGTGGGGCTAGAAGGATCATTTGTCTGACCCAGTATGGCACTTCTTATGTTATGGCCCCCTCTACGCATGTGGGTAAAGGCGCAATGATATTTAATAAAGGATCCACACAATCGTGTCTCCTGCCATGGCACACTGGAGCCACCTCAGTTGAGGAGCTCCCAGCTGCACGGACATCCCATGCACCCATGGGGCTGAGGGAATGCACTCCCAAGCTCAGAGGACTGCAGCAGCCTCGATCCCCCAGGTCCAGGTTTCACGCACCCCTGCACCCTAAAGATCATGGCTGCCTCAATCCCTGGGGCCCAGGGGTTTCATGCTGGGCATGATGCACTCCTGCAGCTGAGAGATCTGTTAGCTGATGTGGCTCCCGGCTGCAGGGGAAACTCTGCAACATGTGCAGATTAAAACTCAATAGCAACCACCTAAGTTAGATTTGAAAATGTGTACTAACTTTTATAGCTGGTTAGGGCTTTTTATTGTGTGATAATTACTTTGCATGTGTAGCTGGTCTTAAAGTAATTGTACAATTAACCAGTTAATTGTGCAATACCTATACTGTGTAAAAGGGGCCCAAGAGTGTTCTGTACATTGTGTACCTCCAAACCATCATTTCCCTTGAGCCCTGAACCACACCCCCCCCTCCCCACAACACCTTTCACCAGAGGAGAGCCAAAAAAGTCAATTACTACTTCGAACATTGATTAGAAGGAAACCCAAGCAAAAAGGTTCTTCCCTCCTTTGGAAGCTGAATCACATCCAATTTGGAATCCATGCCAATCCACTTTCAGTTACCTTTTACCAGAGATACTAAAAGACCAATAGATTTTAAGTGCCAGACTCCTTCAAAAACAATACACAGCTGACAACGAGCAGTTTGTTCTCAGTTTTGTATGCATCACACACAGGAGAATTAGAAATCACGATGAATGGGGCTTGACAAAAAAAGGAGGGGGCTGCTCATGATACAAAATTTATAACTGCCATATTTTCTCCCACACCACACACCTTGCTTTCGGAAGGCAAAACAGAAAAAAACATTTTTCTAGAGTCATAGCCTGGAGCTGGCTCTTTCATAGAGGCAGTGCTACGCAATGGTTCCTAGCTTCTTTCTGGGACAGTAAACAGGAGAGAGAAAGTCCAGTGTTAACCTTTTCACAGCTGCTCTCAAATTAGCTGGGACTTTCTCTCCTGCTTGCAGTACCAGAAAGAAGCTGGCAGCCGTCTTGAAGCTGTGACTCTCCATGTTTCTATTCCAGTCAAAAGAAATAAGCTTCCTTGTTTAAAACGTGCACCCTGATTTTGGACTGATTTGGGGGAAAAAGGTGTGCATCATGCACAAGTAAACAGGATATCTCAATTGTGTCAGAAAATATTTGAAGGAGCTTAAATACTGTTTAGATCCATTCTAAATAAAGATTGAGACCTCTCACATAGGTAAAATTAAGTACATGCCTAAAATAACTGAGGGAAGAACGCATTAAATCCACAGCTGTGGATACAGTGTAGTATTAGGAACATTTGGACCACATCAGTGACTAAAAAAGCTTTCAAAATGGAAGTAACAGTCCTGTAGCAGAGCTTCATAGACCACACTATTTGGTTTCTGACAGGTTACAGCAACAATTAGAAACTTGTCAGCGTTCCTCAGGACTCCAAGCCAGGTTAATTATTTCATCTTTACATATGAAATGTTGCATTCGTTTTAGTTATTATGCCAGTCAAATTAGGGATTGTGTCAGAATGCCATTCTAAATCCAATTTTCCATGGAATTAAAACCTACGTGGAAATAAAAAATTGTTGCCTCCTGAAATTAAGAAGGTGATAGGCAAGGATTTTTGTGGGAGATATCTTTTATTGAACTGACTTCATAGTTAGGATAGACTTAGATAAGCTTTCGAATGCAGTGCATTCTTCTTCAGGTCTCCTGAAATAAAGTTTTTCTATTTTTCTTCTTTGCCCTATACTTTCCAGACAAATTTGTTTGATGTTTTTTCCCTCCTTAAAAATTCAGAAAAAAAGGAGAACACCAAGACAGTACTACATTTAAAACATTCAGCAGACACAAGACAGCACTACACTACTTAACATAAGGTATGGTAAATTATTTACATTAATGCATTCTTTTTGTCTATATTTTAAGTGAAACATTGCATGAACATTTAGCCAGGAAACAGCAGCCTCAAGAGGTCCCTCATTTTCAGCAGCCATCTGTACAAGCCCATACGGAAAATCTCGTAACTCTAGGTCCCATAATCACTTTCTTTTTGAACAAGTGAAGTGTGCTCATTCAGTTGACTCCCTAGTCAAGCCAGCTCCTCAGAACAACTAAAGATGAAAGTCTTAATAGGCTCACCATTGCAACCAGTAGAGTTCCTAGTATCTACTGTGGTTTTAGGCTCTAATTGCTATTCCCAAAAAACCACACACAGATCCACTTCTAATTTTTTCTACCTTCAATAACAACAGCATCCACTGGACAGACTTTTCAGCAGAAAAAATAATTGAAAGGGTAAAAGGACACACAAAAATGCAAATTCTTGTGTACAAAAATACTCTATTCTATACCTTGTTAAAATGAAGGAATATACAACTCCCACAGTCTAGATTTAGCTCCTTGAAGGTTGAACCATTTTGATGTTATATGTATCTATACTATTTGAAAACTAGTTTCAGCACAAATTTGAATTTTCATATTATAGCAGTACTGGGAGACTAGTCAGGTGTGGGACCCCAACATGCAACAAAGTGTATATAAAAATTGTCCTTATTCCAATTTTGTATGTTAATTTCTACATTAAAGTATTCTCTGAAAATTATTTCCTGGGACTCCTGGGGTATAAAAAACAAATATAGTTTTCCTTCTCTATAAAAAGCAGACAATTATACCCAATGATACCACCTCTCTCACAATATTGTGCTATCAGTATTAATCTACAAATCAACAGCTACAAGCTTATCCAAGGTTACAGCTGATACTCTGTTCTCAGGTTTGCTGTCACATTAAAGTATTATCCTACATATTTATATCAGGACATAGTTATGCACTGACTTTACAAAAACAAAAAATGCAATTATCCATATCCCAGGGAACTTTCTGCAGGGGTACTTAGTGTTATAGTTATAGTATAAAACATTTTACAGATATGAGACTTCTTCCACCCCAATAAATAGTGGAGTAAGTTAAGAATACAGGAACAATTTTAAATTCAGAACTTTTCCTAGAACAAACTATATGTTAAAGATGACCTGTAAAACTACTGATTTAACTGCTTAAGGTCTCAAACCAGAATCAAAATGTGTGTGCAGATTTAGAATCTGCAAGTAGATTTTAAAATAATTTAAGGTCAATTAACCCTGCAGCACTTAATTGTCATTGGCATTCCTTTGATATAAAGATGATGGCCTCCAGTAAATAGGGGAGTCTTCAGTCAGAGGAGGCCAAGTTGAGATCTGCATACAGGCAGTCCTCAGAGTTACGACAATTGGTTCCTGAAAACCATGTTTTAAATCGAAACGTTGTAGCTGGGAACCAATTTTCCCATAGGAAACAATGTTATAAACGGGGAATTAGCTCCTGAC